TATTCTTGGAAACAAAAGAAGATAATGGTAAACATCCAGATGAAATAAGTAAATCAAGTTTCTTTGCAAAAGGATGACCTAATCAATGATGCCAAATATTCCGGCCATTATTACAAGATAAAGTAGTAGAAAATAAACAAGAAGAACTAGTTTCTAGAGAAGTAAGTCTCTTCTCAAATTCTAGAGCGAATAGTCGTACCAATCTACGCCCCTTCCCCTTAACCTCCCTAGTGTGTTGGTCCTATATCAAAGAACCATCAAGTGAGAAGGTGACAGTATGAGCATGCTCAACAAGTTGACCAACTGATATTAAGCTTGTTGTAAGTCTAGGAACAAGTAATGCTTGTGATAACTTGAAAGGGGAAGATCAAGAGGTAGATTAGGTGAGATCATTACAGCCTACAATATCAAGTTTCTCACCACTGGCTATAACAATGTTTTTGGAGAAGGGAGAGGATAGGATGACTGACTGCATGTAGCTCCTGTCATATGATTGGAAGTATCAGAGTTTATTATCCAAGATGACTACGAGAAGCACAATAGCAGAAAATGCATGAGGAGATTGTCAAGGACATCAACTGCCAAATCTTTTCTTCACTCATAACATTTGTAGTGTCATTCTTGATCTGAGATGCGGAGGATGATGCATCATCTGATCCTTCAACCAAAGTTTGATATGCCTTGTGATGACTCTTTTCCCACTAGATCAATTTCCTTAGGTGGTTTTGTGCGGTATTCAGTAATAATATGACCAAATTTCTTGCAGTAAGTACAAGTATTTTCTTCCTACAATGGGATACCACATGACCAAATTCCTTACACTCGTAACACTACACCCTCGATAAGCCTTTGGTTTGAACTTATCTGTTGCTAGAAATGTAGCCTCTATTGTATCATTCTTGGCATTCATGGCTGATTGAGTGATTATCCTGGTTTCTTCTCAGAGTAATTCACCCAAAATACTATCAAGAGATGGTACAATGGTTCTACATAATATGTTTGATCTTATTACCTCATACTCAGGTCGGAGATGTATCAAAAAGAGCATTACTTTCCTTCTGTCAAAATGTTCCTTCAAAGTTTTGATACAGCAAGTTGAGGACACTTCACCCGTGTGAATAAGCTCATACTCTTTCCAAAAATTGATAAACCCTGCATAGTATTCCCGATTTTTTTTCAAGATGGCTGTGGGAAAATATCTCAGTTTCAATCTGGTACTGCCATGAGATGTTGGACTAGTGATAGGAAAAGAATCATCAATAGTGAGATGGAGGAAAATATCTCAGTTTCATATATCTCCTTGGCTGTCTAGAGACCCCTCATAGGAATAGCAACATCAGTAGTGACTGAACTCAGAATCCAGGATGCAATCTAGGCATTATTAATCTTCCAAGTCTGCAGTCCTTTTGCATCAGTCACTTTAGGCATAATGGTGGATCCATCAATATAGCCCAATAACCCCTTACCTTCAACATAAAACTGAAAATGGAACCGCCATAAGGCATAGTGGGTTCCATCGAACTTAATAGGAAGGACATCACATCTTTCAGATACCATAGCAAGGGAAAGGATGAAGAAAGTAGTCTCTAGCTGGCCGAAAACAGCAAAGAAATATGTTCGCAGTCCAAAAAACGAAGGTTCACAGATGAATCTAGCAAAGGGAGGGATCAAAACCCTAGCAAACAAACTCCAAACTTCACCAAATTTCCAGGGCTGTAGGAACAGCCTAGGGCAACACCGGATCTAAATTTTTAGAGCAAACAGATCAGTTACTTGAAAGAAAACCCTGAAAAACTGACCTGAGTTGTGTCCCAGTCCAGAATCCAGATTTCTTGTCTTGATCAGGACAGTCCAAGAAAGAAGGATATGCCAGTCCGAATAGGTTGAGAAATAGACCCAACTTGATGCTGAATATGAGTGAACAAAGTCTGAGATCAAAGCCGGGAAAATGAACCTGCTTTGATACCATGTCAGTGCAGTTCGTACAAGATAGAACACAGCAGATTTGGGGTGTGCCTAGTGTGTCGACCACACCAAGAAGAAGCTATTTATATCATTGAATGTAAAAGGACACTTCTGTCCTATAATAGAATAAGTAATGTACAAGGTAAAAAGAGTAGAAGAAGAATGGTACAACAAGAAAGCAAAGTTACAATTCAGCCCTCACTATCTCTGTCTCTACAGATTTTCTATTAGCAATAGATCTAGCTTAATTTGCACTTTTGAAGCCTTCAACAATGAGATAGCCATGGGTGGCATGAGGAATTATCTTGTACTAAAGATCCCTCAAATAACACATTAATTACTTGGAGACCTTTGCTCCAATTGAGTTCTATTAGAACATTATTATTGCTTGTTACATCTTATTCTTGCTTCCTTTCTAAGTTTGGTATGAAGAATGCTTTTCTAAATGGATATTTATGGAAGAAATCTAGATCAAGTTACCTCTAGGCTTCTATAAGAAGGAAGCTGGAAATTAAAGCCTGCAGGTTAGGAGATTATTGTATGGACTGAAGTAGTCACCTAGGGCTTGGTTTGACAAATTCATGTGTCCTTTAGAGATTTGGATATATTTAGTCAGTCGGATCACACTCTTTTCCTGAAAAGGAGTGGTGCTTTTTTGACCATTTTTATCATGGACGTGGATGATATGGTGACTTGTAGATTGAACCAGCATTAAATCTAGAATATTTATGAAAATAAATAAAGAAAAACTGGTCTGTACCAAGAGACGATTAACGGGGAAAAAGTGAAGAGAAGCATTTAGAAAGAAGATCACTCATCGGGCTTTACTGCTGCCCCACTCTATTTAAAGTTTTCAATCCTATTGATTTCTTAGTAGGTGACGGGACAGCACAATAAAGACAAAAGCAAATAATATATGTGGCCCAACATGCCATTACGAATCAACCCAAATAAGAAATCAATAGGACAAGGCCTATATTTCAAAAATCCCCCTCAAGCTATGGACGGATGCCAATCATTCCCAACTTTCCAAGTGTTGAATAGAGTGGACTTTGGAATCATTTCTGTAAATATATTTGCCAGCTGTTGGTCTGTCTTCACAAATAGAAAACATGCATCACCACCAGGAACCTTCTCTCTCATGATATGTTGATCCACTTCTATGTTTTATGCGTAATTGCTGCTTTTTGTTAGAATATAGGAGAAAAGGTCTCTATATATGTATCCGACTATCTGTAACTCATTAGGTACAGAACACAGCCACATAGCCTTTGAAAACCCCATGGCCCATAGCTTTATACTTGTCTTATGCACTAAAATGTGCATCAAAGCATCAACAGTTGGCTTCTTACTCTTCTAGGTCACCAGGTTACGTCATACAAAGGCATGGTATCCTGATGTTGATCTGCTGTCATCTAGAGAACCAGCCCAGTTTGCATCTGTAAAGACCTTAACGCTTATAGCAGAATGCTATGAATATAGTATCCCCTTTCCAAGATTCTTTCAGATATGCAAGAATCCTCTTTGTAGCTGACAACATAAGCAATATCAAGCTTAGTCATGCAGAGGTAGGGTAGCTTAACCACCAGCCTCAGATACAATAGAGATACGAACAGGCTTAACCTCTGGCTTTCCAGTCTCTTTGAGAAGATCCATAATATACTTTTTTTATGAAATATAGATACCATGTTGTCTTTATTCCAAGAAAATGTCTGATTCCCCTGGATCTTTAATGTCAAATTCAGCTTCTAGGAAGTCCTTAAGCTGTGAAAACCTTGGAATATAAATTGAAGAAATAAAAGCCATAGCTTTTGTCACAAATCTGGGAATATAAATTGAAGAAATAGATGCCAAAATGGAAACATATGCAGGAGATAAACAACTATATGAGAAGTGAGATGAGATATTATGATTAGTGGAACAATACACATGCTTTTTCCCTTTCAAAGTGCTATAATGAGAGCAAGATCAGATAAGGGAGCAGTATCAGCACCTGGATAGTCATTCTTAGAGGTAATCAGGAGTGGCTATGATGAGATGGGTGGTGACATAACTTCTTCCCTTCTCTGGCATACCTGTAGTTGCTTTTCCAAACTCTGTGAAGTTTTAGAAACCTCCCTAGAATCCTGAGTAGGGCATTACTCTTAGAAACACAAAATGCTCTTGGGAACAGGAATAGGAAGAGGTTCATCATGACACTCAAAACCATTCTCTCCCCTTCTCCCCCTAAAATAATGAGTAGACTCAAAGAAAGTGACTTCCATGGAAACATTCTTCGTCTTGGTAACAATGTTATAACAACAATATCCCTTTTGATTTTGTGCATATCCTAAGAAGATGCAATTCATAGCCTTCAGATCAAATTTCAACTTGAGGGGACCAAGAAAATGAACAAAGCATGTACATCCAAACACTTGTAAGGGTATAATAAAGAAGTCACCATTGGAATATAATAAGCTGAAAGGTGTTTAAAAACCTAGAACTTTAGTTAGAATTCTATTAATGAGAAATACAAGTGTACAAACTCTATCCCTTATTATTAAATAGTAACATGAGAGCTAAACATAATACCTCTTGAGACTTCCAATATGTGTCGACTTTTAGGTTAAATACTATTAAGCAGTGGCAAATGATGTCAAACTCCACTGAATTAAATTAAAACTCCTTTAATTCATCCTTGATTGTGAATGGTTGACCATTATTCACAGTGGTTCCACAAGTCATTGATTCTTTGATTTGTTCAATTCTTCCAAAGTACTCAATGTTCCAAGCCTTCATTTTTCTCCTTTAAATTCTTTAGTTTCAAACAGAATCTCCCAATTTTCTTTCTTCCCCCGGTTCTCCCCACTAGATCTTTACCCTCTCTTTAAAGAAGGGATCCTCAAACTACATATTTTCAAATTGGAAAGATAAGGACCTCCAGACAGGACTTCCCTCTAAATACTGATACGACAATGATCAGAAGTCACTCTAGGCAAGGCTGTTGAAGTTAAAGTCCCACACAATTCCTCCTGGTCTATGGAGAACAGAAATGTATCTAGTTTAGAGAAAATCAGGGTATTGAAATATGTTTCTTTTTATACTTAAAACATGAAGTTTATACCTTTAAAAATTATAGATAATTGTTAAGGAAATATGATTATGGAACCTAGAAAACTACCCTAGGATATATGTTTTTTACTTAAAAAAATCCAGTCACCTAGGCGACAAGGCGCTCCCCTGTCACCTAGCCTCGCCTTGACACCTTGAAAACTATGCCTTTCTATTGGTGCAGAAGATTCTGTCATTTCAGCCTCCAATAGGATTAGATGGCTATCTAATCGCATTATATGTTTCTGAATGGAGATCACAGATTCTGTTGTTCCAGTGGATTTCTAACGAGTCATTTTCATTCATTTTCTGCAATTTCAGATCAACTCCTTTCTACAAGGATCTCCTATAAAATTAACCAAGAGAAATCAAATAGGAATGGTCAAGTATTAGTAGAGCAGACTCAGATGTCTGGCAAAAATCAAACAGCATTGGTTGTCCTTAAAATGTTTCTATAATTATTTATTTCATGTAGTTAGTCCTTACCAACTTTCTGGAATTTTTCAAGACTCAATAAAGCTGTTTGGCAGACTTTGAAGTGTCTAAAATTTCTAGCCTTTGAAACAATAATTTGACAAATATGATGTAATCCTTTCTTTGTCTTGCTGCAGGTTTTGGGCCATGGCATCTTAGCTTTAATTCTGTGGAACCAGGCTAAATCTCTTGATCTTAAGAATAAAGTTTCAATAACGTCCTTTTATATGTTTATTTGGAAGGTAAACCCAAAGTAAGCTGTATTTCTATTTGCTATTATAGGAGCATGGTGTTCAGCTGCATTTTATTTAAATAGCTCATTTTCATCGTCTTTAGACCCAGCCTATATATAAAATATAAATAAATACGGTATTATCCCCGTCTCACAGAGGAGATGCCCCATGCAAATTATGGACAAATTTGGAGGAATTTATTCATTCCATCTCTCATGTTTAGATGGTTGAGGAAAAGATTCCTGCATCAAATTTTCATAAAACGGGGTTTGCTTAGCTTGGAGTAATCAACAATCAGAAGATGGCACTATTCTGGTTTTTAAAGCTAGTCGCTTCCTTTTCTGTCTTATAACTTTTTGCTTTCTGTTTTCCAGCTGTTTTATGCAGAGTATCTGCTCGTTCCACTGGTGAGGTGAAGGGGAAATGGAGAAAGTGCATGAAAATAATGAACTGATTCGAATGGTTCTTGCCAGGAGGTTATAATTCCTTCTAGATGATGTTAGGAGTTCTTATTATCTATTATGCATTTTGAAAAGTTGAATATCTATATCAACAATGAGATAACAATAGGAACCTCTCTCACTTGTTGCTTGCTTGTTGGTTGTAGTCTTGTTTGTAGCACATAGTGGGTTTAATGATAAGCAAGTATTTCTTACCAGATGACTTTCATAATTACAGGATGCAGCAATCAGCCTGAGTGGAGAATACTATGTAGGCCGGCTTGGCTTTTAGCCAGGTCCAGTGCACTCTGGACCAGGCTACGTGGCTAGTCTACATCATTATGATTGATAAAATGTTAAACAAAATAGAAAACAAGGAAAAGCAAAATAACATTCCACCGTTATACTTTTAGCCTCTTCATCTTCGCAGAACATTAGTTATACTTTTTGTTACCATGGCTAGTGGGGTATAGAGAACTACTTTGGCAAATCATTACCTATTTGTTTGCTTGAAGAAATTCACCATTTGACTTTTAAAAAGCGGTTCGGTCTTTCTTTGTTTTTTGGGATGGAAGTTAGGTGTGTTTTAATATGTGGGAGAAAGGACAGACCATATTTCATGTAATAGGTTGTTTTAGCCATTTAGAATGAAACAAAGTATTTGTTAGGTTCACACAACATCATTAATCATGTGAATGTGATAATGAATTGAAGATAGGGATGCAAACAGATCGGATTGCATTCGAATCAGGGTATATTCGAATCCGATCTGACACTGTTCATGTTGGATCCGATCCGATATCCTATCGGATCTTTAGATCTGATTTGATTTGACTTGTTTTCTTTAAAAAATAATAAATTATTAAAAGAAAAATAAAATATACCAATTTAAATAAGGAAAAACAAAAAACACAATTATTTTTTTAATTATTTTCATCATATATATACATGTTTTTTATAAAAAATAAATAATATAACAAATTTATAAAATTACAATATAAATAATATATATATAACACATCAGATTGGAAGATCCGAAGATCCAACCAGGGGTGATCTGAATTCGACCAAATAGAATCAGATCGGATCACGATCCGATCCATTTGCACTCCTAATTAAAGAACCCTTATACACCTTGGAATCTACCACTTGTCCTGCTTGTATACCCCAAGAAGCAACATGTCCCTATTACCTGTCTCCAAATTAATTTGTTAGGATTCTCTCTTAAGTGGGAAGGGTGATTAGAGATTTTCAAGCATATTATAGGTCTTGAGTGGGAGGTTAAGACGCAGACGGGACTAAAAACTGGTGTGCCCAATTGGTCTTGGTTTTAATGGTTAACTGGGCAGTTGGCCCATTCAGCCCATGAAATATTGTGAAAACCATTATGTAATCAAGACCTGGAAAGGCCACCAGTTCTTGTCTTCACAATTCGATCATCTTGTCCAGGCTGATCTTAAAACTAGTGTTTTAGGAAACTGGATGGGACTGGTTAGTCGGATCGGTTGAACAGTTACTTGGGGCCTTAGCCGGTTTGGTCACATTGTAAGAATCGAAATTGGTTCACTCTTTCCCACTAAAAGGCAAGGCAGCCGTAGGCCAATGGCAGAGCGCCCAAGCATAACTGCATGGCGTATCAAAGTTCTTGTACGAGCTCTAGGCAAAGCTTTAGTTCTATACGGCAAGGTTTCCCTTGGCACGCACTAGCCACTAGGTTACTAAGCAATGCCTTGGCTTGCACAAGGCTAGACGGGCCACGACATGCCAATAGGCGAAGTCCTGCAGCAACAGGCCTTCCAGACTTCCCTACCCAAGTGGGTTTAGGTTGATTGGACAAGGACCTTCTTAAGCCATCCTTGAGAAGATTTAGGTGAGTTGGAGTGTTGGACTATGGATTTTTTGATGCATCTATTGAGCAGTTTTAGTTGGATTGGACTAGAGATTTATGAAACATGTCTTTGGTAACTTTAGGCTGATTGGACTGGGTATTTTTTGAGGCATGTGTTGGGTAGTTTCAAATTCCTAGCCCAGTCCATTTGAAACATGTCTTTGGTGCTTTTGTAAAAGTTATTTCGTAAAAGCATTTTCGTAAAAGGGAAAATCTATGATACGGAAAATATATGATATGGAAAGAGTTTTGACCAATCAAAACCCACCCATGAATTTTGATAAATAACACCTGATTCGTTACCATGTTTATGATTCAAGTTTATTGGTCAGTTGTTTTTGGATATCATATATTTTCCATATCATAGTTGAACCCTTCGTAAAAATGCTTTTATTAAATTGCTTTCATAAAAGTACTTTTGTAAAAATACTTTTATAAAAGTATTTTCGTAAGTCCTTTTATAAAAGTGATTTCCATAAAATTAATTGTTTATTTTCATAAAAGAAAATGAAAGACAATAGTCACAAGTGCTTATTTGAAATGCTTATTAGAGAAAAAGACTACCAAATGCCTACTATGAAATAGATTCTTATTTTTTAAAATAAACACTTAAAAAGGTTGGGTGCCAAATGCAAATAAGTGCTTATTCGAATAAAGCACTTATTTTTAGCATAAGCACTCCCAAACATGGCATAAGACGTATACTTTATTTATCAACATTCAAAAATGTCCAACACTTGAACCCTTAATTATTAATTTATGAGATTTATTAGAGATTCCTTAATGTGTGGTATGCATGGTTTTCGAACCGCCGTTAACCCAGATGGTCAGACCGTTCGGCCTGGGAACCATTAGGCAACCGGTTCCGTCTTACCTCAAACCCGGTCCCTGGCCAGCCATTTTTATTTTTAATTATTTTTTTAATTTTTATCAGAATGGGCCATCCATTCGAACCGTCGACCCAAAAACCGGTGGTCAGAATGATTCCGTTTCTGGGTCATTTTTTAAAACCGTGGTGGTATGTCAACGCCTTTCCGCCATATCCATGCATATTGAAAATGTACATTACAGTTAATACCCGTAAAAGTGTTGCAGACCCATACTTGAAAATAATCTCTTTTCTATTGTTTTAGTTTTTTTAAACCATTTTATCAACGTTTTTCTTATTAATGTTATATCAAGAAAAAAATAAAAAAGATGCAAAATAATTAATTCATAAATACAATTTTGCAATGTTTCCTTTATACATCCCAGTAATTCAAAATTGACATAAAGCAAGGTTTAAATTTTTCATACACCCCGGTATGGTGCAAGGGGTGTATCTTTGAACCTTGCAGCAACCAATTTTTTCTTTTCTTTTTTTTCAAAAATATGTCATCAATACGGAAAACTAAAAAAACAATGTGGTCCAAGGTTCAAAATACTGATACACCCCCCTTGCGCTGTATTGAGGTATACCAAAATTTTAAACTTTGGTCAGGGTAGGTCTTAGGCTAGTCTATCCACTAAAATAGGTCAAAAGCCCAAAAATACATGTGTATATTTTGTGTGTACACATGGTTTTAAAAAATGATCTGAAAATGAAATCATTCTGGTCACCGGTTTTGGGTTGATGGTTCAATTGTCTGGTTCGAACAGATAGTCTGTTCTAAAAATAAAAATTAAAAAATATAATAATTAAAAATAAAAAACAACCAAAAACCATTGAACAGGTCGAAAGCATGTATTTTTGGATTTATTTAAGCCTCCTCAATGTATCTATGCATGTGAAAAGCATTTATTTATGACTCTTAAAATCGACTTTCCAATACTTTGTAATTCTGATTCAGTGATTCTTTTAAATTGTTGCCCTACATTAAATATCTAATATGTTATAAGATTTTGCCAAAAAAAACAGTCACTAGTTATTTTATTTCTTTTATGCTTGAGAAACTATTGTTGAGTTTTATGTCTTCTTTATTAAATAATTTATTTATGATGTCACAGACTCAAAGGTCACATGGTCATTTCTAGTTAGACCGGTTGAACCATGGTCCAGTGCCTTTTACCTGTTGATTAACGACCCGACCTCCTTAACATTTCTTTCAGACGTTTGAATAGCTTCATAATTCATAAACTAGTACACTTTTAATCTTTGAATTCCCATATACACAAGATATATCTGATTGAATATCACATGATTCAGTTTTTAAGCCTATCCTACTTACAGATTCAAACATTTTACTTGGCTATAAAAAAGCAAAAATAATTTTTACTGAGGTGGTAATTGTTTTTATTTTCAAAAACAAAATCAACCATATTCAGAACACCCTCTAAATAATAAATACATCACATGAATTAATGAATTGGTCTAATAAACCCAACTCAAATCGAATCATCTGCCGCTGAAATTCTTGCTGGTTTATAATTACCTTCCAATATGGGTGCATTAAGGTTGCATTTGGCATTCTTTAAAAAATTCTTTATTTTAAGGATTTATTTTCTTTTTGTTATTAAAAACTCGGGGCATTTTAACTAAAACAAATAAAAAAGACAAGTCCTTATTTAAAATAAGGAATGACAAATGCAGCCTATATTAAATACCGATGGCCCGGTATTTAAATCATCACCCTTTTAACAGATATGGGGTGTTTTCAGGGACCATCTAACTTGTCAAACTTGAGTTTGATACTTATGACCATGTTATATAGAAATAATTGTTTATAAGGAAACTAAGGCCCCATTTGGTTTGCAGGAATAGGAGTCTGAATTTGGAGTTGGAATAGCCATTCTCTGTTTTTCGCTTGGGAATGAGATCCCATTCCTGCTGATTTTAATTTCTATTCCCATTTCTGTTTAAACCAAATAGACTATGGGAATGAACCATTGCGATTATTTGCAATTTTGGAGGATTTCAATTTCAATTCCGATTCTAATTCCAATTACAAACCAAACGAACCCTAATATCTAGCCCAAACTTCAAGAAAAGATCTCCTATCTGATTCTATTAAAGATCTCCTGCTGAGAGATTATGTCACTGGATGTATTAAAAAGAAAAAAAAATGCAAACAAAACTAAATAAATAGCCATTCAAGATTTTCTTATATTTTGGCTGAAATTTAGACTATGAAACAAATTTCTGTAGGGGTTAAAATTCTTGTTTCAACTCAGCCAGCAGACCTCTAACGTATATGATGAAAAACAGATGATCATAAATTGCGTTAAACTTAGAGCTGATTAACCAAAACTATTTGTCTATATTTTACTATATCAATTTCCTCTTATTTCTGTCAAAACTACTTTTTAAATCTTGGATCATGTAAGTTTTTTTTTCTTTTGTAAACTTGAATA